CTCAGGGGCCCGCTTCAGTTCCAGAATCTTCCCCTGTGTCCATGTTTAATATTCTTGCATGAGCTAAAAACATAGCCTATACCCTAAGAAAAATAACGTTACTTTCATGTTTGCCTCCTTGGGCCAGGAAATGTCAGTGAAGAGGACAAACCCAGGTGTGACGCGAGGGCCAGCCAGGGACACATGAGGACAGAAGCAAGGCAATGGTCCCCAGCGGGACAGGGTGTTTGTGGACACTTGCCATAGGCAGCTGCGAGGCACTACTGAATGAGGGGCTCAGAGGGCTAGACACACGCAGGGGCCCTGGCTTCGTGCTTGCCAAGACCCTGCACAAACCCCTCTGGCTAGAAACTGAGCCACTCAGACTGCACTTTCTGCACATCCAAACGGTCAGACGCTGCTGAGCCCATTTCGATCCCAGCAAAGCTGGAAGCAGATCACACCCACCCAGAATATAGCACAGCTTCTTGCCGGCTCTGTCCCCAGCCCCCTTCCTCTCCCTCTCCTCCAGGCCTCTCTTCCTCTCCTACCCCCACCTTGCCCTCTTCCTTTCTCGTCCTCTTCACACTATTAGGAGTCTCAAGGGTTTGGACATGGTTTGAGCATCTCCTTCCAAGGTTCAGGTGCTAAAGCTTAGTCTCCAGCATAGCACTGTTGGGAGGTGGTGGCCCTTTAAGAGGTGGAGCTTGTTGGAAAGTAATTAGGACAATGGAAGTGACCATTATGGTAAGTAGGTGGCCATTAGCCCACGTGTGTAATAACAGCTGAAGAAAGTGAGAAAAACATGAGAATTTAGAAAAACAAAATTTGAAAGATAAAGTTACACAGCAACAAGAAGATAGAAACCCTCCAACCACTGGCTCGGCCTGCTGATGGCCGCCACCGTCAGGGCTGGGCCGGTCAAAGCCCGGGGCTCCTGCCGTGCTCCCCAGTTGGCAAGAGGCCCAGTGATTCAGACACCCTCCTCTGCTCTCCCAGACATCAGCAAGGAGCTGGGCTGGAAGAGGAGCGTTGGGACTTGAACCAGCACCCACATGGGACGCTGGCAATGCAGACAGCAGTTTAACTCACTACATCACAGTGCCAATCTTGAGAAATGAAAATATATATGTATATTTATATACATAAATATGTATTTAAATATATAATATAGATATGAAACATAACAAGGAGGACCCAGCGTCATGTGTAGTAGGTTAAGCTGCAGCCTACAGCACAGGTATCTCATGGGTGCCAGTTTGAGTCTCAACTGCTCCACTTCTGATCTTGCGCCTTGCTAATGACCTGGAAGGGCAGCCAAAGCTAGAACAGGTCCCTGGACCCCTGCACCCACCTGGAACACCCAGAGGAGGCTCTTGGCTCCCAGCTTCAGACTGGCCCAGCCCAGGTTGCTGTGGCCATTTGCGGAGTGAACCAGCAGCTGAAGATCTGCCTCCTGTCTCTCCTTGTCTCTGAAACTTTGGCTTTAAAAGAAATGAACTTTTTTTTTTTTTTTTTGGTAAGAAAAGAAAGGAAAAAAGGATGGAAGGAAGTGGAGCGAGTAAACAAGTCCTGGAAGCAGACAGCAGTCACATCCAAGCAGCTGCCCATCCTCTGTCTGGTAGGCGGGCTTTGGCCCTCACTCCGGGGCAGTGCACGGGAACCCCCTGCTCTCAGCAAGCTCCTGGGAGCATTTTTTGGGGGGAACTCCATATTCGGAAAACCCCCACGTGGTAATTTCCCAGAAGAGGGAGAAGGGGAGGGGAAGCGGGGGAGCCGTGTGCATATCTAAATGCCACTCTGTACAGACTGGGCGCTCCGTCCTTCACCGAGACACCTGCCAGTTTTGCTGCCTCGCTCACCACTACTGGATCTCAATTCTGTCTGAACCGTTTCTTTCTTGCATGAACCTGCAGGGCGGGTATTGTGGCTTCACAGTAAAGCCTGTGTCCCCCAGGGGGCGCTGACTGCAGCTCCAGGCCGCTGCACTTCTGATCCCACTCCCTGCCCACACACCCAGGAAAAGCAACCGGAGGTGGCCCCAAGCACTTGTGCTTCTGCCACCTGTGCTGAGACCCAGATGAAGGTCCAGACCCCTGGCTTTGGCCTGACCCAGTGCCAGCTATTGTGTCCACCCAGAATATTAACCAGTGGACAAAAGATCTCTTGAACTTTTTCAAATAATAAAACTTAAAGCAAACAAACAACAACAACAACAACAACAAAAAAAAAACCCCAAGAACCTCCAGTCACATCTCTGCTAACAGGACTAAGGTAGTACTTGAGGGACACTGGTCAGGTCCCACGAGGAGTATGTCTGTCTGTCCCTCCCTCTGTCGCCAGCAGAGCTGAAGGGGCACAGTGCTCTGGAGCATCTCAGCACGGTAAGCTACATCAACCTCTTTTGTTTATAAGGCACCCAGCCTTGGGCATTTTGTTACAGGAATAGAACAGGACTTTCCATCATGCCTGAGAGCACGCACAAAGTCAAGCAGCCACGTAAACGTCCCTGGGCCCACGCGTGAGGCAGAATGAAAGGCCCTATCTGCCCGACACACCTGCGGAACACACCAGACACTGCAGAAGCCCGCCCTCCCCGTGGCCTGCAGCTCACTGCTCTGTTCTCCGCTCCCATGGCCAGACTTCCTGTTCCACCGCAGCAGGGCAGGCTGGGGGGCGGGGGGTGGGGGCTGTGCTGGTAGCCAGATCCCAGACCTGAGGCTCAATCTGGCATGTGGTGTTTGCAGGGATTTTTTGATGATAATCTAAAATGTCTATGGTTTCAATTAGCCACAGACAGTTAGAGGGTCTCCCTTAAACACAGACGTTCAAAGGTGCAGGAAATGAAGGGCCCAGAAGGCGTGTGTGTGTGTGGTCAGGCTCTGCCTCCTGCTGGCTGCCAGCACTCAGGCAGGGCTCTCACTCCAGGCCTCCATGTTGACCCTGAGCAGGGAGAGCAGGAGGCTGGCAAGCGGCACCTGTTGGTCCCACAGGGGTCACACCACGGTCCAAAGGAGCCGAGGAGAGGCCTGCATGCAACACGGCACCACAGATGCTCTCCAGGGAGGCAACAGATCCATTAGCTCCTGGGCTGAAGGAAGCCTCCCCACGGGCAGCAGAACCACGAACAGCTTGCAGCCTTGCCAACTTGCAGCCTGCCAGCCCCCAGGCCCATGCAAAGAGGGAGGTGGATAAACCCCAGACACACAGGCAGGACGACTTCTTGTCCAGGCCACCTTGATTGGAAACGCTGAAGATACTCCAAGTCCCAGCCCCTGGCTCCAGGGCTCCTAGCAGCTCTAAAAGACCCCATTGTGTGCCCCACCACCTGGGCGGGGAGGAGGGGAGAGGGCGAAGGCAGAGCATCTCGCATCCGCAGGTCTCTCACGGCGCACCGTCCCCAGCAAGTGCTTTTATGTCTTAGTAGGCTGCTGTATTAAGTCGGGATTAATTAATTGCCACATTAAAGGAGAGCACCTTTAGCATTTCAATGCCATAATCACACGCAATTACGATCCTATAAAGCAACACTTTATAATTAATGATGTCTCCACTTCCTGAAATGTGTAATCCTTATGTCTGGAATTCCAAAGAGGCTGACAGAAGGAAGGTGCTAAATATAGACCTAGAACTAATACTTAAAATCGGCGTTTAATTCACTTTTCAATACGAACAGTAAAACCAGAACAGAGGCCCACCGTTGGGAGACTCCTAAGTGAGGCTAAATATTCAGCAACCATCCTTGTGGCCTAGCAGGTGCACAAATGGATTTTTTTCCCAGAAATGCATTAAAACTCACTGACTGTGGCAGATAGTATTATAGTTTTATTTAAAAACCAAAGACAAAAACCTCGGTTTCACCTTAGTAACTTAAAATGATCAAAGTGTTTCCTTTCCATTAGGGAGGTTTCCCCAGAAGCTGCGAGTGCCATGCACCTGTCATGATGCTATGAGTTCCTGCGCTCCAAGCATGAACACTCAGCAGCAGTCCTTTAGGGGTCCTGAGACTGGTACTGTGGGAATCCCATCTCTTAAATGGGGCCACAGAGGGACAGGCGCTGGGCACAGTGGTTAAGATGCCACACTGGGCTCGAGCCCCAGCTCCCATTCCAACCCCAGCTTCCGGCTCATTTGTACCCCGGGAGGCAGCAGGTGACGGCTGAGTTCTCAGGCACCTGCCTCTCTCACAGGAGACCTAGGCTGAGTTCTCTGCCTGACCCCAACCCCACTGGTCGGAGGTACTGGGAAGTGAACCAACAGCTCAAAGATCTGTGTCTGTCTCATTCTCAAAGAAGAAATGGAAACTAATTTTGAAAAGTAAAAACAAGGGCACAGACTGGTGAGGAACTCATGTGCCTGAGCGACTAGGTACAAGGCAAGGCCCACTGATGGAATTGCAGGCTAGATGCGAAAAACAGAATCTGCAGACCTTAGCGCCCATGCCGCCACGCTAACAGGCCAAGGTCAGGGAAGCCCCTGGCGCCTGCTTTATCATGAGACAGTTATTCAGCCAGCCATAGCAGAAATGCAGAGGGAAGCAAACTTGACCCATAGTCACATCCACAGGGCTGCTGGAAATGGGGGTGGGGAGGAAGGTGTCCTCAAGACTGGGGCATGGCACAGTTCACAAAACCACTGCCTGCAGAGCCTGCAGCCCATAGGAGTGCTGGTTTGAGTCCGAGCTGCTCCACTTCCAACCCAGCTTCCTGCCTGTGGCTGGGCAAAGCAGTGAAGCTTGGCTCAAGTCCTTGGATCCCTGCACCCATATGAGCGACCTGGACAAAGCTCAGCTCCGGCCACAGTGACCCTCTGGGGAAGGAACCAGTGAATGGAGACTCTCTTTGCCACTCTGCCTTTCAAATACAGATAAACACTTTTATTAAAAAGTCCCTAGAGCCATTTTTCCTTCAAAACAAAGCTTTCTTCTAACTGGAGCCTCGGTCCAACATCACCTGCCTTCAAGTGAGGCAGGGAGGTGCGTCCTCCCCCACACACAGGTGGGCCCAAGGTCAAGGGTTTACCTTGTCATAGTAGTAGCGCAGGGCCCTGCTCAGCTTATCGTAATTCATGTTTGTCTTGTTTTTCCGCAGTCCCCACAGCTTGGCCACTTCTTCGGCTTTGAGGAGCTTGAATTCACCATCGTTCGATGTCCAGCAGATCAAGTGCTCATGTTTGTGGTCCAGCAGCAACTGCAACAGGAACTGCCACAGCGTGATTGCACTCTCCATGCCTGTGGGAGAGAGGAGAGGGGCTGGGTCACAGCAGGGCTCCAGGCGCAGACCCCTCCCAACCTGCGGGGGGGGGGGGGGTCAGGGTGGCTCGGCAGCCCCACCCCTCCCCTCCCCTCCAGCAAACCCAATAGACAGGAGCCTTCCCTTCCTGCCCAATGGGTCCCTGTGCACTGACCCCTTCCTGGCTGTGCTTTCCCAAGCAGCCAGGGTCCAAGCTTGGATTTGCCAAACACGTCCGCTACACACACCCTGCAAGCGACAGCCCCACACTGGCAACACAGGATGACTGAGATGACCCCTTCCGGAGTCCCCACTCACAGCACTAACCCTGGCCACTGCTTGTCCACGTCTTTGTCTCTAGTGATCACTTGCTCCCTCCAACTCCACCACCCCACCCTGCGCCAAGGGCTTTGCTGTGGGACCTGGGCTGTGACAGTCCCTCCCTGCTGCGTGATGAGCTTTGAGAAGCGAGTGCGGGTGGCCCTAACGCACAGATGCCTGGACCTGAAGGGAAGGTCACTGCCGGCCAGGGAGCCTTGCCCTGTCTTGGGACAGGCCATGTATCCGCTCCAGCCCTGGAAGCCCGAGTAAGCGATGCTGCTTGTTTTTACAGGAAGGCCTACACAACGGTTTTGTTGTTAGGATGCCTTTTAAATATATATATATATACTTATTCATTTATTTATTTGGAAGTCAGAGTTAGAGAAACAGAGGGCTCCCATCTCCTGGTGTACTCCCCAGATGGCTGCTGGGCCTTGCGGAAGCCAGCAGCTTCATCGTGGTCTCCCACATGGGTGGCAGGAGCCCAAGCACTTGGGTCGTGCTCTACTGCATTTCTAGGTACATAAGCAGGGAGCTGGATCAGAAGCAGAGCAGACAGGACTTGAACCCACGTTCATAGGGGATGCTGGTATTGCAGGCAGCAACCCCAGCTACTACGCCACAGCACTGGCCCCAACAGTTTCCCTCTGACCGCAGTGAGCGTAACTGCTGTTCCTTCTGCCCAAAATGATGCTCCCTGGCTTTGGAGCCCCGAGACCACCTCACTCCCACCCCTGGCACAGCTCAAGTGGAACCAGCTACAGCGTTTCAGCTTCAGTCATTTGAGGGCATTCAAGGCAATGTGTGTAGATTCTAAATAGTGATGATGGGTTTGTCTTACCCACATTCATTTAATCAAGCAAGACTGGAACAGGGAGGGCATCTAGCCCAGAGGTTCACGTGTCGCCTGGGAAGCTTGCATCCTGTGGCAGAGAGTTTAAGTCTCAGCTTCCCTTCCGATTCCAGATCCCTACTAATGCACACCCCAGGAGGCAGCTGGGTCCCCAGCAATCACGTGGGAAACCCAGAGTGAGTTCCAGGCTCCTGATTTCCACCAGGCCAGCTCTGCCTACTGTAGTCATCTGGTGGGTGAACCAGGAGATGGAAAAATCTTTTTCCGCCATTCAAACACATGAAATAAGTTTTAAAAAATGAAGTGGGTAGATTGGCCTCAAAGGTTTCACCTGTCACAAGCAGCAACCTCTGTGCTGATGTGGGCAGGATGGGGCTGAGGGTGAGGGAGCTGTAGAAAAGCAGAGGGTGGGAAAGCTGGCTTGTGGCACAGGGAGAAGTGCCAAACCCTCAGGATAGGGAGGGGACAGGCCCAGAGGGTACTGGGTACCCTCTCTCCCAGAGCAAGCAGACCCAGGGCAGCCTGAGGGGATGACAGCCAGGAGGGGCAGTGGTGAGAGGCACAGCTCCAGGAGCCAGAGCCAGCGCCTGGCCAGTGTGGGTGTGGCTCAAATCTGGCCAAGTCCATAGCTCCTCTCACGCACTGCTCGCTAAGAGGGAGGCTTGGAGAATCTGACAAGAATGCCTGTCCCTTGCCACCCAGCAACAGGGCCTGACAACAGCCAGTCACTCCCCCGGCATCCTCACTTCCCTTCCCAGGCCCAGCCAGAAGAATGCCTGGCCTTGTTTGCACTGAGCAACGTGGGGACAGCATGCCTGCAATGGGCAACGCAGCTGTGGGCTGGGTAGGCCCCTTCCAAGAGGCACAGACATTCACCGCCAAGGTCATTCGGCCAGGCCGTAAATCAGCCCATGGTTGGCTCAAAGCCACAGAGGCATCCCTGAGGCTTCCACTGGGACTGCGGGCTATGTGGCAGCTGGCGGTCCCGGCCCCCAGTGGGAGCCACCCTTGGCATTCCAGAAGGAGAAGCCACTAACTTTCCTCTTGTCACTGGCACCAAGAATTGTTAACAGTTGTTTCACATGCTTGCCCATCTCCACGCCCAAATGCTTGCCTGGGCAAGCTTTCAGACACCCTCAAGAGGCAAAGGGGAGTCTACTGCTAAGTGGACAACAGCTAGGTTTGGAGACGGGAGTGGGAGGAGTCGCTGGGGCCGGGTGGCCGAGCGGTCAGCCATAGCCATGCCCATCCCAACTGACACGAAGTATCAGCTCCGGCTGGGACAGGTGGCGACACACACATCCGCCCAATGGGATTTTCAGCAGGGCCCCTGGGAGCTTTGAGGACTCCTGGGCCTGCTTTTCACCGTGTTCCAGGCTCAGATAGCCATTCGGCAAACAGGCTCAACACACTCAGTTCCTCCCTCCTCACTTCCCTGTGACAGACTGTGCACCGATTCACCGCAGGTCGGGAAACTCATGGGGAAAAAAAACGCAACCAAAGGATACTTTTTTGGACCAAAAACAAAGTTGAAATCAGGTAGTGTTTTTCCATAAACTATTTTCTAGGACTCTAAAATGTTCTGGACCAAAATAAACTGATTATTTTAATTCAAAAATTTTCCATGAACTTAGATATTTTAATTTATTTATTCAAAAGATAAAGATCTTCCATCTGCCAATTCATTCCCCAAATGGCCACAGTAGCCAGGGCTGGGCCAAGCCAAAAGCCAGGCATCCAGAACTCCCGCCGGGCCTCCCACATGCGTGCTGGGGTCCAAGGTGACGAGCTGTCGCTGCTGACACCCTGGGTGCATGTTAGCCGGAAGCTGGAATTGGAACAGAGCCAGGACTCAAGCCGAGGCACTCCACTGTCAGGTGTGGGTATTGCAGGCAGCACCTTAAATGTCCCCACTCATCTGAAAAAGTTTTGAAGCACTCTCTTACTTGAACTTGGCCATGAGATTTGAACCAGCCAGCTGACTGACAGGTAGAAGACACAAACATGGCATCTTGGAGGTAGGGTCTTGGGGTAGCTCAAGTAAGCACTTTTTCGTCCTCCTGTGTTCCCACCATATCCATGGATCTGTGGCCACACAATGAGGCTCATAGTGCTGACCTGAACCCAACCCAAGGCCTGGAGAGCAGCTGCTCCCCGGCACCCCACAGGTGGCAGCAGCAGGTCCCATGGCACAACACACGCCTCTTTGAGCCCAGGACTCAGCCCCACTGCAGTTCCGAGCGGACAATGACAGTGTGCAGAATCTCAGTTTAAAAACTCATCTTGCTACCTGTTGGGCTGCCAGTGTCTTTCCACTCTCAAGCTCACGTTCACATTCACCAAGTATGCACTGCTGGGGGCAGCTGACTGATCAGGTTCCCAAAGTGAGACCACAAGAGGGCTAGGAGCAGAAGGGGAAGAGCCAGAGAAGCAGATGGTGGCAATGGGGACCCTGCTGCCTCATGGCTGAGCTGAGAGAAGGCAAGATGCTGGGAGCCACAACTTCCCCACCCCATGGTGACCCCACAGAGCCGGGGAGAGGCCGTGAGCACTGCAGGACGAGCACCACTGCAGGTCGAGCACCTAGGCTCTGACGGAGGGATCACAGCCTCCAAGCCTCTCACATCTCGGACACAGCCCGGTGCTCACGGCCTCCTTCCCTCCTCCACTCCGATCCATCTGCCAGTTTCCAGCACCGTGCAGTTACTCTCCACGGCCAGCCACAGTGCACTCGGGCAGGCATCTGAAAATGACTGCCCCACAAGCTTATCTCCACACCTACAAGGCCCAGAAATCTCCCCATGGAGGCTTGCCACTCATGGGCCATGTTCTCTGGCCAGAGCCACCAGCACCATTACAGCGGGTAGGTCTAGGTCAGGTGGGGGCCCAGCTGACTCCACAGCACGTGCAGTTTTAAATTCCTGTGGAAAAGTCCGATCCCTGAGCAGGCATTCTGACTGCAGCCTAAGAAGCACTGGTTTACACGCCAGGTGTCCGGTGCTGTCATTAGCAGACAGCTTGGGGCCCCCACATTCCTTATCAGAGTGCCCGGCCCAAATCCCAGCCCCGCCCCCACTCTAGCTCCCTGCAAATGCTCACTCAAGGAAGCAGCAGGTAAGACACGGGTCCCTGCCACTTACAGGGAGGTCTGGGTGGAGTTCCAGCCTCCTGGCCTGAACCCAGCCCAGGCATGGCTGTCGTGGGCATCTGGGGAAGTAAACCAGCAGACAGAAAAATCTCTTGCATGCCATCTTTCTCTATGTCTGCTCTTTAGGGTAAAGTGGACAAGTAACCAATCTCCTGAAAGAAACATTTGCTGAAGATGCTGAGCCCACAGGCTGTAAGCTATCATGGCCTCCCGCAGGTGCACGCCACGGGCTCCCCCCACCTCCGCTTCATCTCACTCCTGTGCCTCCAGGGGGCAGAGGAAGCACGTGTGGGTCAGGAGAACATTCTACAGCATCAAGCCCCTGGGCGTGATGACAAGGCAGCTCATGCCTGCTGCTCGTGTCCACTGCAGAAGAGGCCCACAGGGGTGCAGTCAGCGGCCAGCAGGGCAGCCAGTGCAGAGCGGAGAGGGCAGAGGTGGCCTAAGACTCAACAGGCCGATTGCTGGGAAGAGGAGGAGGAGGAGACATCATCGCTGCAGTCTTGATTATTACCGTCTCTCCCCGTCATCTCCCCAGTCATTGAGCCCTGATTCATTCTGAAATCTGGATGGAGTTGTAAAGAAGAAGACGCTGTGGGTGGATAACGTCGACCCCTTTCAATGTCCCTGGCAGGACTCTCTTGCCAGTGGCCACCTCACAGGCAAGCTATGGCAGC